GCTCGGCAGGGAGTCTGCTTCTCCCTCTGGCCCTCCTCCTTCTCATGCTCTCTGTCTCTCATTCTCTCTGTCTCAAATAAATAAATAAAATCTTTTAAAAAAAAAAAAAGTTTGCCAGGGACTGAGAGGACTGGGGCACTAAAACTGGGAAAGCCTTGGGCAAACCAGGACGAGTTGGTCACACTAGTGACCACATGTGTGTGCACGTGGACACCCTCTAATAAAGAATCCTATCCTACATCCTCAAACTCAAAAGTGTCAGAATCCATAACAGCTTTAGGACCTAGAGGTGGACAGACTCCAAAAGATGGAGGCCAAGAAGTACTGGAGGGTGCTGAGCAACAGCTAGCAGTCTTGGGAGGAGTCAAGATTTGGCAGAAAGAAAAAGGAGACAAAGGAGAGGGGGCGCCTCCCTGAAAAATTCTTCCTGTCCTCCATCCATCCACACCATTCCCCATACCTGCTCAGCTCCAAGCCCCAAACGTCCCCAGGGGTGAGCATGTGCCTGCTCCTGGGCTCCTTTTTGAGTCAGTTGACCTTTGGGGGAAGAGTTGGATTCAGAGGGGAAGACAAATCCGACGCCCAGGGCTCCTTCCCCCGCTGTACCAACTGCAAGACAGGAAAACTTTCCTTTCAAACACCACAGATTGTCTTTCCCCTTCCAGAGCCAGGTTTTTCTCCACTCGGCTCTTGCAGACCCCAGAGAATGGATCCCATCCCCATCCCTCATTCAAGCACCCATACCTTTCTTTCCTCTTTCTCCCTTTATTTCCAGAGTGGTTCAATAGGTTGGCCTGGGGGACCCAGGCCACCTGGGCTGGGGAGGACAAGTCAAGATGCCACTGAAGGCTGGCAGTGCCCAGCCTTGGGCTGACCCAGGAGAGAACCAGGTGGCTTCGGTACAACTCAGGCATGATGAACTACCAGTGGGGGCATGCTTACACCATCATGTGATGCCCCCCCCCCCCCAGTGCATTTCACAGTAGCTCTTGGCAGCAAGTCAGCAGCTCTGGCACAGAGGCACATGCCAACCTGCAAGCACACAGTACCATCACCTCTTGCAGTCCCTCTGTTTGGAGGTACCTGGGCCTGCCCCAGGGGTATAATAATTCTGCCCAGAAAGATGCAAACTGTGGCCAGAGAAGGGTCCCCAAACGCTCCAGAGTGGTTCCCTGAGTTCTGGGGGAGGGACGGTGGAAGGGAACAGGGAAGAGGCAGGCCCGGTTGTAGGGTTTGGTGTCAAGGTTCCCATCCCTGACTGTCCTTCTTCACCCCGCCCCCGGGGTCTCCATCGCCCTGGCCCTGCGCCACCACTTTGAGCCGAGGGGTAGCTCGGAGCTCCATGGTCCCCTCCCTAGAGCGGCCGCCCCCTCGGGCCTCTCCCGAGCCCTCAAAGAGCCGCGTGAGGAAGCCGGGGCCTGCCCGGGGCAGCAGATCCCCGGCGGTGAAGACGTAGAGCACCGGGTTGACGCTGGAGCTGAAGAAGGCCAAAGCGGCAGTTCCAGCCCGCGCTGCCTGGCCCGCCCCGCCCAGCCTCGCCAGGGCCCCTCCGGGCGGAGCCAGCGCGGCCGCCACCTGCAGAATGTTGACCGCGTGGTAGGGGGCCCAGAGCAAGCCGAAGGCGAGCACGATGGCGCTCACCAGCCGGCCCACCCGCGTCCCGTGCCGCCCGGCGCCCCAGCGCGCGCCCCGCAGCCGCGCCAGCGTCCGGCCGTAGCAGCCGAGCACCAGCCCGAAGGGGAGCACGAAGGCCGTCAGCGTCTCCAGGCTCAGGTGGGCGGCGGCGTGGGCCGGCGACGGGTGGCACAGCTGGCACACTCGGTCTCCCCACACGTGCCGGTAGACGGCGGCCGGGGCGGCGAGCAGCAGCGCGGCCAGCCAGACGGCCAGCAGCAGGCGGCGGGCCAGGGCCGGACTGCGCAGCCAGGGCGCCAGGAACGGCCGGGTGACGGCCAGGCAGCGCTGCAGGCTGAGCAGGCTGGTGAGCAGGACGCTGGCGTACATGCTGAGCGCGCACGCGTAGTACACGGCCTTGCAGCCCGCCTGGCCCAGCGGCCACGTCTGCCCCGCCAGGAAGGCCACGAAGAGAGGCGTGAGCAGCAGCACCGCGCCGTCGGCCAGCGCCAGGTGCAGCACGAGCGTGGCCGCCAGCGGTCGCCCCCTTGCGGGCCGCCAGCCCGCCAAGCTCCACACGACGAAGCCATTGCCGGGCAGCCCCAGCAGCGCCGCCAGCAGTAGGAAGGCCGTGCCCGTGACCCGCGAGGCCTTCCAGCTCAGCAGCGTCTCGTTCCCCGGGGGCCGGTAGCAGGCCAACATTCTTCTGCGCCTACCGGGGTGGGGGTGGGGGGTGGGGGAGACGGAAAGGGCCATAGAAGGCATTTAGGGACTCTGTCTCCTCCCACCTCCCTGTCCTCCGTCTCGGAGCCTTGACTCAAACACTACTTCTTGGCGGACCCTAAGCCCCAACTCAAGCACTACTTCTTGGAACCCAAATGCCCTGCTGTCAGTCAGCTGACCTCCCCAGGCCTGACTCCTGGTTCCCACTCTCACGACCTCCATCTCCACCCCCTTTAGCTGGGCCCCTCCTTTGTCCAGCCCCATTCCTTCTACCTCAGCGCAACGTGAGTGGTGGGAAGTCAGAGTGGATGAGCAGAGCTACTTACCTAGCTGGGAGCTAGAAGGATGGTGGGCCCACGAGGAGCCTGGGAAGCTAAAAGGCACAGCAGCAGTGGGAGAGGTGCCTACTCATGCCCTGTGCCTGTCAGGTTTGCAGTGTGAGACAAGAATGGGGAGGGACAAGGTGGGGCTCTTCTCTGGCCTCTCACTGGGGCCCTTCCGGCACTCTACTCTTTCCCATCACTAACAGGCCCAGGCGTGTGAGAGTCCGCCTCCCTAGGAAATAGGATAAGCTGCAGGGTACAGATAAGGTTCCCAGATCATGTAGGTGAGTAGGGACACTGCTGAGTCCTGACTCTGGGTCCTGCATCTGCACTCATGCCTCCCCCCAGTTCTGGCCCCAGTTGTCCCATCCTTGCCACCCGCCTGTTATATGCTCTCAGGCTTCCCTGGCCGGCACTCAGCAGAGAAGGTGACCCAAACTACTCATTCCCCCAGCTGCTCTATCTTGGCCCATTTCCAGACTTCTGATCCAGCTGAGCCCCCTTTTCCCTCAGTTTCCTACCTGCTCCTCTTATCTTTTACCTTAGGCCCTGCCCCAGTTGTTCCCCCCTGCCGGGGAGGGGGGAGGGCTCTCACTGGGCTGTCATTGACAGCCTCCAGTCACGGTACTGAGTTCTGGAGGATGCATGGAGGTACAAGGGGCTTATACCCTCCTTTTTTTTTTTTTTTTTAAGATTTTATTTATTTATTTGACAGAGAGCGAGACACAGCGAGAGAGGGAACACAAGCAGGGGGAGTGGGAGAGGGAGAAGCAGGCTTCCCATTGAGCAGGGAGTCCGATGCAGGGCTCGATCCCAGGACCCTGAGATCATGACCTGAGCCGAAGGCAGACGCTTAACAACTGAGCCACCCAGACGCCCCAGCTTATACCCTCCTTGAGGAATCATAACACACAACCTCCAAGAGACCCTACTACCGAGCTGCACCAGGATACAAGATAAGACGAAAAGAATTGGTGCATTGGTAGAGACATACCGACAAGAAGGCTTCTCTGGGTGAAGAAGTCAGGCAAAGCCTGGAAATGAAGAAATTCTAGGGGGACCCGGTACACTGATAAGGTGGAGGTAAGGGGAAAGATCCCTGTCCAGTCAACAGCTGGAACTGGAGGCTCCCAAGGAGCCAGGACGCCAGTATTGTCTCAGTTTGGGTTACTTCCAAAGCACAGCCTGAATTAAGGGCTTGGGTACAGGTAATCCTGCATCTGGCAGGTCAGCTCTGGAAGCAGGAGTGAGGGAGCAGGGCAGAAGAGGGAAAAAGAGAGCCAGGAAGAGTATGTTGTTGGGTCTCTTCAGTAGGGATCAGGAAGCTCTCAGAATTACACAGAACACCTTCCAGAAAGACTGAAGACTGGGACACTGGTGCCCAGCTTGTATTCCCCATGGTCTGAGGGCTGTCCCAGAGGTATTATACACATTTGCAGCCTGTTCTTGTCAGGGGTCTTAGTGGGCTGCCACAGCTTCGGACACCGAGGCAGGAAAGCAGAGATTCACACTCATGTGACGGGTTCAGCCTTAGTGAGATCTGAGCTTCCAGACAAATGTCCACCACAACTGTCGCTGAAATCAGAGCAGACTCAGGGTACCAAAAGCTAGTCTCAGTGTCTTCAAAGGACACACCCCCCTTCACAACTCCTTCGTGCCCATTAAGTGGCCAAAAGAGAAAGGTAAGAGAGAAAGTGACCAATCCAGTGTGGCTAAAGCGAGCAGTTCTGGAGAATGAAGCCGGTTCCTCCCCTAGATCAGGGAGGAAGAAGCAGGGAAGCAGGAAGGCCATGGTCCCTGCCAGGATCCTGGTAATCCTGGATCCGTGCAGCAGGATCCATCCTCCACTCACCGCCCACGCTGGCACTCTGCCTTACCCCTCATTGTGTTCAAGCCCTGCCCACAATCCCACCCTCAGCCTGGCCTCCCTTTTCCTAAAGCTGCAGTTTGTGGCTTTCACAGTAGGTGGCGGCAAGTCCAGTGCAAATCCCATATAATGCAACTTCTCAAGGATGGGAGCTCGAAACTATCCCTAGAAATTCTCTCCGTAGAAAGAAAAAGACCAGAGATCAGATCCCATCCTCTTACACCGTTCCCACTTATCCTCAGCACACACCGCCACCAGAGACACACACACACACCCCCCCAAGCTTCTGTGACCTTTGCGGCAACTCTGGGCCTCAATCCCTCCTCCACGGTCCCATCTAGGCCCCTCCATTTTCCCTCCCCTTGGACTTTGCCCTTCTTACTGGCCTGGCAGGCGGGGCCAGAGTCCGGGGTGACTCATCTCCCACCTCACTGGGGCTGAGATCCCAGCTCTGTAACAGAAAACACCACCACTTCGGCCCCAGCACAGCAGAGAACCACCCAGCCTAGAACTCACCGGGAGAGGCAACTCTCCTCCTGCTCCTTCCCTCCACCATGGAGTACCTCTCATCCCTAAACCCCAGCGGTCTGCTCAGGTGATTTCTAACCCTCCTCTCTACCCTCCAACACTGAGGATAGTGCAGGGCAACAAAATTCCACTCAGCCCCTAGGAGACTCAGAGACTAACGTACCCCTTCCCTTCCCCGCCCCAATTTTCCACAGTGGGCTTGTCCAGCTATGGAACCACCACTGACCACCCCTCCTCCGTGGTCTCTCCCTCTCTCCCTAGGCTACTCTAATCTCCAAACCTAGATCCCTCCCTAACTCTCCAAGTACCCCACCCCCAGTCATCCCCACTGCAGTCACCAAACTCCTCAGTTCTTGACCTTTCTCGCCAACTACCAGGTCGGTATCCAATATGAGCTCTGAGTTTGGCCGGAAAGTCTGGACTTCAGCTCCACCACCCCAGCGACCTTTCCGAGTCTGTGATCACAAGCGGACCACCCGGAAAGGTCTGACAGCTGCCACCCGCCAGGAACTGCTAGACAAGGTAAGTGAGCCAATTCCCTAAGTTCCTATTGCAGGGGCAGCCAGGGCGCTAGAGAAGAGTGAGAACTTGGAGTGAAGAGAAAGGCTGAGGTTAGTTACATGGCTGCCCCTCCCTCTAAGGGCTAAAGGGCGGGGGGACGGTCTGCCCAATGACCAATGCTGTATTTAGGTCGATTCATTTCTTTTCCAGGGGGTAGAGGAAGGAGTAGATAAGGGAGGATTGGAGGGATGGCATTCAGAAGTCAGTATGGAGTGTGTCGATTTGTATGACAAATCAAGTTCAAGTCCTGATTCTATCAGGACTTGCTGGTTTGCTAGTGTCAAACTGTAGGAAGTTGTTCAGTCTATCAAAACTTCAGTTTCTTCATCCACAGAAAGGGAATAATGACACACCTTCCTCCTAGAGTTGTTGAAAGCAGTCAAAGAGGACAATGTATGTCAAGTACTACATAGATGCCTGACACTAATGAAGACTCAAAAAGGTTAAGCGTCATTATTACTGAAAACAGTTCTGGAGGACTCTCTGAGGGTGGGGACAGTGAGGTAGGACACCGGAGATAAGACCGAAGGATGGACCTCAACAGAAGCAAGCGAGGTTTTCAATTACAAGCCAGTAGGAATGGTTCAAAGGAGTACAGGGGAGAAGACAGTGACGTGGACAATGACATAGGAGCAAAGAGGAAAAGAAGTCAGCCCTTAGTGAGGGTCCCCCAGCAACTGAAGAACACCGAGCGCTGGAGCCATTTGAAGGGATGGCAATTTTCCAGGAAGTAGAGTTGGGGTATCAGCCAGCATCTAGGGCCAACCAATGGATGTGGGGTAGCTGGGGAGGGAGGGGCATGGCTAAGCTCTGCGCCTTCCCTCCTGCTTCCTGTGGCTGGGCAGGCACTGGAGGCCCTGCTGCTGAGAGGGATGCTAACACTGGTGCTGGAGGAGGATGGGACCGCTGTGGAGAGTGAGGACTTCTTCCAGCTTTTGGAGGATGACACATGCCTGATGGTGCTGGAGTGCGGGCAGAGCTGGAGCCCCAGCAAGGTGAGAGGCCACCGTGGGGCTGTTGTCGGCCACCAGTCTCTCTCGAGCTTCTCTAACCCAACCATGATCATGGGGGCGGACACACTGGGAGAGGCGAGGAGTTGCCAAGGACACCTTATAGGGGACAAATGGTCCAGGCAAGAGTGGGTCTGACCTAGTGCTGATGGGGAATAGTGGTGGGTGCCTGGGTGGGAGGGTGCACTGCACTGATGGAAGTGCCCTACAGAGTGGCATGCTGTCATATGGCCTGGGCCGGGAGAAGCCCAAGCACAGCAAGGACATCGCCCGCATCACCTTCGACGTATACAAGCAAAACCCTCGAGACCTCTTTGGCAGCCTCAATATCAAAGCCACGTTCTACAGGCTCTACTCCATGAGTTGTGACTTTCAAGGACTCGGCCCAAAGAAAGTACTCAGGTCAGAGACCAACAGGTCATGTTTCCCCATCCCCCTACAGTTGCAGCCCCCCTCATTCCTTCCGCACTCACCTACCCCATTAGCTGTCCCTTGTGGAAAACCCCCTCGATGGCCTCCTCCCAGGTTCCCCCACCCATCCGACTCCATCTTGTCTCTGCCCTTCAGGGAGCTCCTCCGTTGGACCTCTGCACTGCTGCAAGGCCTGGGCCATACGCTCCTGGGAATTGCCTCCAGCCTTCGCCATGTAACAGAAGGGGCCGAGCAGTGGCACTGGCAGCAGCAGGGTCGCCTCCATCCCTACTGAGAAGGGGCTCTGAGCTGCTTTCTGCCCCTAGACTCACTGCAAGAGACATACTGTGAGGACTGTGAGGGCATCGGCTTTGGAGATGCGAGGACAGTGTGGATGAGATGACTCACCTGATTTCCCCCGCTGTCTTCTGACCCATTGTTACAGGCCCCATCAGCGTAAGGCCTTCCAGCCCTAGCCTATACCCTTTCCTGAAGAATGCTGTTCCCTTCCCAGCCGGCTTTCCGCCCTCCCACTTACCCGGAAAGGCCACAAGCCCATCCCCAAGCATCTCAATTCCACCCTGATCATTGCTACATCTAGATTCTTCGCACCTCCTCCTGTCCCTAAGCTTCCCAATGCACTGAATTCGGCCCTCTTTGACTTTGTCTCGATTTCTTTATACACTTCTCCCCAAGATAACAAAAACATTTCCAATAAAAATATAAAAATATTTATTATTAAGACTTCTGACTCCTACTTAAACTACAAAGGGGACAGGACAGGTATGCCCTTTACCCCTCCCCCATCAACACCCAGTCCCAGATCCAAAGGCCTCAGTCTTCAAGTATTGAGTTCAAAGCCCGCCTCCTCTTGGCTACTGCCCCCTGCTGCTGTTCCCAAGCCTCTCGGCGCTTCAGGAAAGTAGTCAGGGCCACGTTTCGAGCCACATGGTGGCCAAAAGGGTCTCTTATCAGCTCCTGGTTCCGCTCCCCTGCAAATGGAAACACTCATGTTCAGTATCATCATGCAGTCACCCACCATGCTCAAAGGGACTCCCCCTGAGTGAAAGCCCTTCCATTTTCCCTGGGCCCTGGGTTGGTCTCGGGATCATGAATACCTCACTCTCCAAAGAGGAGAAGCTAGGGGCGGGGTGGGAGCACAGGGCTGCATAATCAGCAGAGGAGAAGGGGAGGAGAGCAGACTGCTAAGAACCCATGGCCAACACCATCCTTTAGAACCGAAGTCTCTGCTAAATTTAGTCCCCTCTCCAGCCACCCAGCCATCTGAAGTGAGGGAAGTTTGGAAAGGTCAGAGAGAGGTGCCAATACTCACCCAGCTCAGCAGCAATTTCCTTCCGGGCCCCCAAGGCTGCTCCACTCCAGATGGCATCTAGTACACGGCTGCCATGGCGACTACAGGCCAGAGCCACATATTGTCCCTGCAGTGAGACAGGCAAGGTAGGTCCCCCTAGGGCAGTCCACAAAAGGTGTGCTGGGGAGGGCAAGGGTGAAGTGAAGTTTCCAAAGTTTATAGGTGGAGTCAAGAGAATCTGGGAACTACATATTCTCTCTTTGACTCTGAAGGACAGTACCAGGGCAAGCTCATGTTCTCTTAAATGGATGTTGGTGGGGGCATCAAAGCAGAAACTAGAACCTTTAGGGTCTTCAGCACACGGCGGCGCTGCTTGCGCGTCACGGAGGGGCTGGTCAGGATGGCATCGAGCACGTGCGAGCCAGCAGGGCTCTGGGCTAGAGTCAGAAGTTGTGGTCCCGTCAAAGCACCCAGACTTTGAAGTATAATACCAGGACTAGAGAAATGCAACAGATGCTGGAGCAGGAGAGACCCCAGGACTGTCACGTCCCCCAGGGCCCTGGCCATGGCCATGTCCACCTGGAAGGACAGAGAGAGGGCATTAGGAGGCAGCCACCAAACTGCCACCTCTGCCTGGATGAAGCCAGAGACCTCACCACCCTCACCACAAGGGTGAAGGACTTTTTAAACCCTGGCCCCCAACTAGTCACTGGCTTGGCCCCTCTCCTACCTCACCTGGTGCTCTGCAGGCACTGTCCCCTCCTCCTCCAGCAGTCCATAGTACACCTCATAAGCCATCAAAGTGGCAAAGAGAGGCACACAGGCCACTTGCCGGGAAGAGGGCTCTGCACAGTGGAATGCCTACAGGAGAGGACAACACATGATGAATCTGAGAACTACCTCATCCCTAACCCCGACTCTCTAGACAAGGCAAAGCATTCAGGAGACGTGAGAGTGTAAGCTGCACAAGGGCAAGATCTCCTCTGCCTTGCTGTATCCCCAGCCTCTATACACATGACAGGGGTTGAATAAACATTTAGTCCTTAAATAAACTGTTCTCTTAGTCCTGGGAGACAATTTTCATTCCAGGGCTAGGACACGGGTTTGGCGTCATTTTTCCCTGTATCTGCGAACTCCTCGGGCATGAGACTTCTTCGAGTCCAGAGATACAACCACTGAAGGTCAGAGAAGTCCGAACTGGTAGAATTTGAACTGAGGGCATAAACGGGTGGCGGGTAATATCACCTCCAACAACAGCAGCAGGACCTGGGCTTGGTGGGCCCCAACTCTGCGGCATGCCCCCACCAGGGCAATGACCACCCCTGGGTGACCTTGAGCCAGCACAGCTTCCAGGGCAGGGCTCAGCTCCTCAAACACAGGGGACAGCTGAGGAGAGACACAGAATGAAGAATCTTTGGCATTCTGTAACAGTGGACTAAGTTATTCAGAGAAATCTTCCTACTGAAAACAACTAAAAATGCTAGATAAGCATTGCCAATATCAGGGTTTTGGTTTGGCCACATAAAGTCCAGGACCAGGGGACAGTTCTAGAGGTGCCGCCTCACTTGGTGGGAGCAGGGTACTTTAAATGGCCACACTCTCAAGATAAAGGGATACTAGAATTAAATCCGCCCTTCTTACCCCAAATCCCAACCCATGAGATCACAGGCAAGCATGCCTTGGTGCTAAGCAGCAAAGGCAAAAAGAAGCTACGGCAATAGCCCCAGCACTCACACAGATTTGTAGCTAAGTACCCAGAGTCTGAATGGACCATGGAACCTCAAGCTGCAAATCTGCATCAAGCCAGTCTCCTGCCAGGCACCTGAGAAGCTAACACAAATCCTTTCTGGGAAGAGGGCACTTTTGTCCTAAGCTCTGAGAAACCCCCAGGAATAACCTTTCAAGGGGAATGGCCAGCACACTGTCAGAGACACCGAGGCAGGCACACAATAAAATAAGGCCCAATGAACAAGAACTAGCAGAAACAACAGAGTACAGAAAGAGATCTAGCCCCATTCTCAACTCACCAGCTCAGTGGTAGTAATAGCATCCAGTAAACGCTGCAAAGGGAAGTTGGCAATAGGGTGTGCAGCCAGGGCCTGCAGCTGCCCTTGGAAGTGATCCTCAAAGAGGCTCTGGAGCCTCAGGGGCTCCAACACCAGCAGGACCTGCTCCAGGAGTCTGGAGCTCGTCTGATCCCGCAGAAATAGCAGCAGGGGGCTAGGGACAAGGAGAACGTGATCAGGCAGCCTTTATTCTACTTCATCTAAAATACCCGCATCACTTCATTCACTTCACACAGCTTGACCATACCTGCCATCTGCTGAGGAGTTGCGGCTACTCAGATAGCTGATCACAGCATTGCAGAGATGAGCACAAAACTGGGGCAGTTTGCGGTGTAAGATTTGTAAGGCCACTTGAAGGCAGAAACTGGAGATCTTGTCAGTGATAAATACTGTGGGAGAGAGCAGAAATAATCAAAGCAGCTCTTCCAAAATCCAGACAACCTGTATAACCTCAAACCTCAAGCAATAAGGTACCAGGGACTATGGACATAAAGGCTCTATACAGAGTCCTTGCGATATCAAACCAGATCAGATTTGAAGAGGAATATGACTGATCTAAGTAAGAGCTTTGCATGATGACAATCACCTCCAGAAAAATGGTCCTAGGTCCTCCTTCTATCACCCTCCTTACCGGCAATGTCCTTCAGAAAGCAAGAGCTCAGGTCCTGAAGGCAATTCAAGAAAGTTTCAGGGACCTCAAAATCAGTTGGCTTACACTCCCGAGCTGGGGCCCTTTGTGCATCTGAAAGATCAAAAACATGTGCAGTGCTGGGATCACAAACTACCATCCAAGAGGGAGAATGATTCCATAGATGATCAAGGATTCAGCTTGGAGATGCAGAACACGCATGAATATCTCTTCTCATCTGGATGACTGAACTGAGACTATGTTTCTGTTTTAAATTTTCTAAGAAATTTCAACCAGCTCCCCAGTGGTCCATAGGAGACAGGCCAAACTCTCAGTCAGGAATTCAAGGTGTTCCAAAATCAGGCCTCATCTAAACTCTCTAACCTTATTTCCCAGAGTTTTTCAAAATGTAGGTCACTGCCTATGAGTGCATCATGAAATCACTTCAGTGGATCTTTTTTTTTTTTTTTTAAGATTTTATTTATTTATTTGAGAGTGAGAATGAGAGAGCATGAGAGGGGGAGGGTCAGAGGGAGAAGCAGACTCCCTGCCGAGCAGGGAGCACGATGTGGGACTCGATCCTGGGACTCCAGGATCATGACCTGAGCCGAAGGCAGTCGCTTAACCAACTGAGCCACCCAGGCGCCCCTAGTGGATCTTAACCAGGCCTTTTTCAATGGAATAGAACAGAATAAAATAAACCAGAGAAGAAAATATCAAAGTGGACTGCATATATTAAGAATATTGTCTCTCGAAGTTCTATTTTGAGTCCAATATCTGTATACATACACACAGGCAGGTTCAGTGATGTTTAAAAAAAAAAAAATTCTGTAAGTTGTGGTTAAAAAAAAAAATTGACATCCATTGCTCAAATGAATCACCTCTTACCCCTGGCCCATTCTACTAGCTGTCCCTCAAACACACTGACACATTCTCACCTCTGGGCCTCTGCACTAATCTTTGGTTTGTTAAGCCTTGTCCTCATTTCTCTGCTAATTCTTCAAAGTCATGAGGAATTACTCTTCTGCTTACTCTCTCCTTCTGGACTTCCCAAACTCTCCTCTCCTCTAGGTCCACTTCCCTATCTTGTAGTACTTACCAGGTGACTGAGAGCCACGGTGCCTGGCTCTCTCAGACTCCAGAAGAGTCCCTCCCAACACCTGCAGCAGAGTTCTGACCACGAAGCTGCCATGTGTGTCTCCACAGTAGAAAAGAAAATCATCACACACCTCAGAGGCTAGTCCCAAAACCAGCTCCTCCAGGGTCTCCAAGGGACCATCCTTGCCATTCTCCTCCTCCTCCACGTCCTCCTCTTTCTCTGCCGGGCTCCCCAGCAATCGAGGCAGCTGCAGCAAAGCACTTTGCAATACATGCACCCCGCATCGATGACAGGCCACAGAGCGCAAGCTGGAGCGCAAAGCAGCCCAGACTCGACACAGCGGTTTCAGGGGACTGAATCCCAACAGTTCCTGCATAATCTCACTGCCAGTCTTGTTTGTGGCCAAGGCTAGGGCCTGAGCCTCCACTTCCTTCAAAACATTGTGCACCATCAGTTCTGGATAGACAAGAAAAGAAATATTTTAGAGACTGAGAAGAGAATAAGGTTATGTTCCATCAGTTAACCGAGTGAGGGAGAGGGGGGAGCGAGGAAGAGGATATGGGAGACGAGACTAAGTCCCTACGCCCTGGGGACCTATGAAAATTTCCCTGCCTGTCCTGGAATTT